GTTTGCGAGACAAACATGTGAAAATGGTTGCTTCAACGTGCACGAACAATCCTGCAATTGTGCAAAAACATAACCAGAAAAGTTACCAGCGACAGCTGTCGGAGCGCCTCAGCAGGGTATACATGTTCCAAGCATCATTCACAGCCCCTTTCAGCTGCGCATGAGAACCTCCACCGCTCAAGGCATGGGCTTTGCATTGTCCCCAACAACGGTGTTCCAATAGCAGGCAGTTCTATGACAAAAAGAGACACATGGAATTCTGCAATTCAATTCATCCCATCCTTGAGAGAGCAAGGTCTACCTATATAGTATTAGGACATATTTGAACGCTATTAGGTGGAGGCCATTGTAAGTAGGTTGGAGGCCATCGCTATTAGGGTGGAGGCCATCGCTAGTAGCAACAAAGAGAAAAGAAAAGGAAGTTGCCCAACGGTTGGCACTACTCCCCTTGCAGCCTTGCAAAGCCCTGCTTATTTCGGCCATTCTCCAGCCTGTGTAGTTGCTTCCAATGATGAGCGCCTCCAGCGACTTCCATGCTTTCTCACATGCGCATGTCGAGAGCAAAAAGGGTTTTCTCTTTAGACTCTTTGGACCTGTTGTATCCTGTTGTCGAATTAGGAACAAGGTTCGCTACTAGTAACAAAGGGCATTACTACTAGTAGCATTCTTGCTATTGGTAACAAGAAGCTACGAACGGAGCATTTCGGGCATTGCTACGAACGGAGCAAGGACGCTACGACCGGTGCTCCTGGCCTGAACAAGAGGACACTACGAGCCACCGGCCGGCCGTCTCTCAGACCTTCGCCCCGGCCTTCCGCCGAAAGTCGCCCTGCGGCAGTGGCTTCTGCAGAACGCTTGGCCTCGGCTTTGCAGCTTAGGCCAGGCTTGCCTGCGTAGCCTGCGTAGCCTTGAACGGTCGCTGCTTGGGGTGGCCAACAATGAGAAACGGTTTATATCATGGTGTGTTTTCAACAAGGACCTGGATAAGAAGCACTGCATGCTTCCTTGGATTTCCTGGATAAGAAGCACTGCTTGGGTCACCACACCGAACCGTACGAATGCCCCCCGCTGACAATGCTCATTTCAACAGCTTAGCTTCCGACAAAGCCGGGACTTCAATCCGCCCCAGCTCCTGGGAGTCAAACAGAACAAGACAGTGCCACATCCTAAAACTCACAAAGCTTGGCAGACTTGCAAGGGACAGGATTTAGTGGAATCTAGGAAACCCTGTTGTTTTTGCTTGCCTTTCAATTTGTTTCGTCTCGTCAGGAAATCCAACTTTAACTTTCACTCTGTCAGAAAGAATCATTCTGAAGTGTGCAGGTTTCTGCAATTCAACGTGGCAAATCCCAGCGAGCTTTTTCATCACCAAAAGAGGTCATCGAAATCCAAATCCTCTTCGGCCTGACCATTGCTTCACAGCTGGAAAACTTTCGATGCGCGAAACATACACTGAGATCTGATGGGAAAGTCAACGTGCACCCTAATAGCGATGGCCTCCAACCTGGTACAAGTAGCGATGTCTTGACGAGTCTTGACGTGTTGCATCTTTCCATCCAGACTTGACTTATCCCGTGCCTCACAGTCTTCATGAAACGAACGGGCCACGCGGGCCTGCGGGAAGCTCCGATCGGCTTCGGTCAAGGCCGAAAGAATACTTTCGTGGTTCTTACATCCACTCCAGCTTGGGCCTGGTTCGCTACTAGGAGCAAAGGGCATCGCTACTAGGGGCTCTGGGCCTTACTACTCGGAACAAGAAGCTACTAGTAACAACAGGCATCCCTACTAGGAGCAAGGAGGTAGGTGTTGGCCCTTTGCCTCCCCCACTAACGCCCTGCGCCTCAGCCCGAGCTTGAATCAACTCGGGACGACTTTGCCAGAGCTCCTGTTGATGCCTTCGTCCGTTTCGCCAGGCATCATCCGTAAAGGAGGTGTTTGAGCTTTGGCAAATCTGAAGAAATAGTCATAAACACACACATCCAGATTTCGGCAGGCTCTCCACGCCCTGAAAAAAGTAAAACACTCCGTGTCACCGCCACCATTGAACATCATTGAAGCCTGCCACGAAAAATATGTTTGATACCTTTGGTGTGTCAGTCGATCTCACGCAGTGGAGCCTGTAGGAGAGATCTTCTTCGACAGTGCCCAAGGTCACAAAGCGCCAAAGGCAGACACGCCTGAAGTGAGTACCAGTCCTTTTCGCATTCATGATACAGTAAACGAAAAACACATGTACCAAAAAAAGACCTTTTCGTTTTAAGTTGACATGTAACCAAACCGACTCGCTTTTGTGTCCTTGGCGTCTGCTAGACCTCTGCTGCATCTTCTGTGGCCCAGCATCACAAAATCCCCACCTGCGTTGCCCCAGGCGCAAGCAGCGACCCAGCGCTTGTAGTTCCTGTGGCCATCCAAAGTGGGGGACCCTTGCAACCAGTCATGTCCGACACCAAAAGCATAGAAATACCATGGCAGACACGTGCATTTGAAAAGGTTTGCAAAAATCAACAAAATTGAAAAAAATATCAACATAGTTCAACCCCATGCCGGCTTTGAAGCCAAGCAACATAGGCTACGCTCAGGCGATGTGTACTTGCCAGCATTGGATGCACCAACAGCACGTGGTTCCTTGAGGACACTGAAAGGCCGCTGACCAGCATCAACATCAACCCACCGGTTTCGTGTAATCGGGCAACTGTCGCACCGGTTTCGATCTCCCTGTCCGATCGAACCGAACCAACCACCGGCCCAGCGGCGCCCGGGTCAAGTTCGTCCCGGAGGCCGCATCTTGCAGCGAGAGCAGCAGAACTTTGGGCCCCTCGCAGCCTCAGCGCAGGCGAAGAAAACAGGCCTCAAAACCGAACCTGGCTCCGTTCGTAGCTTTTTGTTCCTGGTAAGGCCAGGAGCGCCCCGTTCGTAGCGTCCGTGCTCCTAGAAACGATGCCCTTTGCTCCTAGTAGCTTCTTGTTCCAACTACTTACTTGTGTTCTTTCAAGATCGAACTTGTGTTTGTCAAGAAAACTGACTCCTGATGCCAGGCCGCTGTCGGGTGGTGCATTTTGAAAGCTTGTGAGCACATCGTCGCGCTGCCAGAAGCTATTCAGCACCATGCTTTCACTGCTGGTGTCATAGCGCTCCTCTGAAAACACACACAGTTAGACTGCCAAACAGGATGATTTCTTCTTGCATAAGGTGTTCTTTTCGACAAACAAAGAGTAACTGAGTAACAGAATTAGGGAGCGAACTTGCAACCCGGGAGCCTGATGGAGGCGTTTCCTAAGCAATCTGCCTCGAACAAGAACGTTCTAGCATGGCCTAGGTACATTCTAGCATGGGCCATTTGGGCCATGGGTGGCAAAGTTTCTGAAACTTGCAGCTTCGAAACTCATTGCAACGAGAGCAGTCCTCCAAGCAAACGTAGGGCACCTGCATCGTACTCTGCTTTGAAAAAAAAACGTCAGCAGGGCACACAACGTCATCTTCGTGACTCACTGATTGTGGTCTCCGTCCAGGACTTTGCTTTGGCAAACCCAACGTCAAAGTAGTGAACTATCAGGATGTAGTCTACTAGGCAATTCCCATCAATTCCCCACCAAGTAGCCCCAACTTTTTGATGCACTGGCTGCCCAAAACATCCTGAAACCCTCAAGTGTCAGATGAGTCAGTCCAGTCATCCGACCTTTGCCTACTCATCTTGCTTCACTTGACGTCACCTGCCCGCCTTGAACTCCGTCAATGCCTCGGCCACCTTCCGCCGCAAAGTCTTCCATTGCACAAAGACGATGGCACGTGCCGTTGGGTCCTCAAGGATTTCATCGCACAGAAGTGATCTGTTCACATTGTCACGCACTTAATTAGGTTGGAGGCCATCGCTCTTATTTCCAACTTCTGTTGTCCATTCTTCGTGCGGAGGATCTCGCCTCCTCGTCGATGGCACGGAGCTTCCGTACCACATGGAAGATCTTCGAGCCGAAGCGGCCCCAGCGCTGCCGCTCCACACGCTCCTGCAGCGAGCTGGCGAGACGTCCGTGCCAATTCGGCAGAAGCAAGATGTCGGTGCCAAATTCGATTGTTACGCCTTGTTAGGGGCTCCTGGCCTTACTACTAGGAGCAAGAACGCTACTAGGAGCAAAGGGCATCGCTACTAGGAGCCATGTTCACTACTAGGGGCTCCTGGCCATACTACTACTAAGAATTCAAATACATCCTGAGTGCCATCATTGGTACCCCTTCCCATTCCAAAAAAAAATACCGTTGGATGCCGGCGATCGTTGTCGACCCTTTTGGAGCGGATCTCATCTTCCGTCTCCTCACGAACCGCCCCAGGCTCACGCACTCGCAGAATCTCATCATCTCTCCGAAGAGATTGACGACAAAGCGCGCATTCGCCTACACTCCTGGCACGAAATCAGCGAGATCCACTCAGCTTGTGACAATCAGCGAGGAAGAAGCGCAATACATCAACTTGGACTTTTCACCACGTGTGTTTCTTGTGCGAAAATACGGGCACTTTGGAAAGTTTGATTGCACACGCTAGCTACCCCGACACGGCCAGTTGTAACATCATGTGACATCAACTGTCAAACCATCGCTCTTAGGTTGGAGGCCATCGCTACCAGGGTGGAGGCCATCGCAATTAGAAACAATGAAAAACGAAAAGGAAAAACGGTCTAATATAGTTTGATGAGTAGGGCTGTGCAAGACAGAGCCGGACAGAGCCTTTTCCGGAAGCGCAGGATTGAGACTTTGGATCTTGAATCAATAAAGCGATCGCATCCTCAAATCCTCCAAGGATGCGAAAAAATCTTATCCTACAAAACTTCAAACGAAGACTGCAAGATTGCAACGCTGCATGTCACATTCAGATTGAGAGCGGGGATGCAGCTAGAAACAGCTCTCTTTCTCTCTAAAACAAGCTCCCAGCTTCAAATGCCTGGGAAAAGGTTGGAGGCCATCGCTAGTAGGTGTTCCGATTTGTGAAACTCAGTTTAATGGACCGCCACTCACTCAGAGTCTTTGATGGGCTCGAACCTCAAATGTGGAAGATACTTTCATCAGGCACCGAGGCCATCGCTCTGAAGCACAAAGCATGCTTTGCAATGGGGTGTTTTTGGCATGGGCACAGAAAGTTCCACCCTGTTACATCCGCCCTTTTCAACAGTTATTCATGCTTGTAATCATCACTTAAAGCACATATGTCACTCATCGCCCAAGTCACTTGAGGCTGTAGTCCGCGATGCTCACCGCACGATTTCCAGCTTTGAAGAACAATTGGTCGTTGGGATTCCTCAAATCAGTGACACGACAGACTGCAAGAGGCTGCACTGCAAGAGGCTGTGCAAGGACTTTGCTCCGTTCGTAGCGATGCCAGGAGCCCCTAATAGCTTCTTGTTTCCAGTAGCGATGGCCTCCAACCTACTACCAAGGCACAAAAAGCCCAGCAGCCGTAGGCGTCCTTTGATCTCTGCATCCGTCTTCCGCAGCGCAGTTACCTGAACTGTCCGATGCGACGGTACCTGAATGACCCCTATCGTCTAAAAGCAAAGGAGATGACCCCGATCTTTCTTCCTGTTCTTTGTAGCGATGGCCTCCCTAATAGCTACTAATAGCGTCCTTGCTCCGTTCGTAGCGATGCCAGGAGCCCCTAGTAGCGTCCCTTGCTCCTAAAGAGAACGGAAGAAAGGTCATTGGAAACATGGATAACCAAGCTCGAAGGGGTACCTTCACCAACATTGAACTAGCTCAGACAAAATGGACTGCGCTCTCAACTTTTGAGGAATAGACTCCAAAGCATTGTAGCATGTCGAACCATGTAGCTGATGGTATTTAGCAGCATTATTTAAGTATACATTCTGGGGCAAATTGCATCATCCAAATGCCACAAGACCTGTCACCTGAATCACACTGACAAGCCACCACTTCTTCATCCACGGTGAGTGGATTGTAGCCAGCACCAGGTGCGGCAAACAAAGTACGTGTGCTGGCGAGACCTCCAGAACAGCTCCACAGCCCTCTGCCAAGTCATCTGAACAAGTCTGTCAACCTAGCCCTTCCTGCAAGTCTACCAGACAAACCTGTAGAGTAAGCGTTTCAGCGTCTGGGGGTCTTGAAATCGGCAAGGCCCGGTTCATTCCGCTTGGACCTCTCCAAACATCGCCGTCAGAGCCATCTTCAAACTGAAGGGCTGTGATGAAGATCTTCCTGAGAATTGATAGCTACTACTAGCGTCCTTTGCCACTTCCGAAAGTGGTCGAAAGTGTGGGATTCCCGAACCCCGACCGAAAGGTGGACATGACATGTCAACGAAGAAACCAGGAATGGGTGATGAATGATCAACAAGGAGACTCAACATGGGCTTTGTGACTGCAGGAACCACAACATCCTCCGCGATCACGGCTCACCACGGCAAGTGCATCGCTACTAGTAGTCATGCCCCTGTTACTAGTAGCGATGCCCTTTGCCCCTAGTAGCGCTCTTGCTCCTAGTAGCGATGCTCTTGCTACTAGTTAGTAGAGAACATGATTAGCAACACTGTTGGTTACCCTTTGTAGATACCTACCGAACACAAGCAACTGTCCCAGTGGACTGGGTGATGGCTCCATTGACATCGCCATGGTTGCAAGTATTAACAAAATGGTCTTTGCGTCTTCTTCTCAAAAATCCCTGAAGTCCTCATGACACACCGGGCCACACCGCGGCACGGCATTCTCTGGGCAAACCGAGCGTCTGGACAGCACCTTTGAAGTTCACGATGACTGTGCGCAATGGATCCTGCGGACCATTGCCGCCCTGCATGGTGCTTTCACCTGCGAAACGATGCCAGAAACTGTGGAGAAACCCGAATTAAACAAACCTATTTAATAGGAGTAGAGCCGTCCGATTTGCCATGCATAAGACATCCACTTCCTCAACAGTCCCTTTCGACCCATGACGTACCAAACCAGTGAATCCCTAACACTCGTAGCAACCTCGAAAAAGGGCTACGAACGGAGCAAAGGGCATCGCTACGAACGGAGCAGAGGACGCTTAAAAGGATCCATCGAATTTTTGTGGCGCACGTGTGTTGTCGGGCACGTCCACATACTCCACGCTCTTCACCACTTCTCGCCCTGCAAAGGCATTGAGCTTCGCCTCAGCCCCAGCATCGTGGCACTACGAGTAACTTGCGTCTCTGAGGTTGAGCTCTCGGCACATGCCGTGGTCAACGCTACTAGGGTGAAGGCCATCGCTCTTAGGTTGGAGGCCATTGCTACTAGGGTGGAGGCCATTGCTATCAATCTTGTTTTAATACATGTAAACAAATGCTGCTGTAGGTAGTTATAGGTCCAAGCGTCTCTCGTGTTGAAGGCGCGGTCTTCTACGATGTTGTTCCTGGGCACGGAATCCGGAGGTTTCACACTGAAACATGCATCACAACCAGAAGCGTTCAATCTCCTCACATCCCTAACAGGCAGATTCAAGAACCGTGGCTAGTGCCTCTAAAGGCTTTCAGGTGCTTTTGGGCAAGAAACCCAATGTTGGACTTTTCCTCCAAGCTCTGGGTATGGCAACATGATTGCTTCATTGTTAAAACATCGCGTGCATGGGTGCTAGCATCCACCTTGACAATACTGGTGTTGCTATGTGAGCTAGAGTTATTGCCACCAATACTCTACAGGTCTCAGCCTCTATGTTCTGCAACTTTAGAAGCAGCACAAAACAAAACGGAAATTATCGGACATTGAACTGTCTCTCTAACCTCTGCTTCTCTGACACTTTGTGAGTCTAAGTGGGGCTCCGTTGCGTGCGGATGTACCTTGTTGCAAGCGAACGTGGCGCTGGAGAGGAGTTTGGCGACGATCTGTTAAAGAAAGAAGAGCCAAGAGGGATGAGAGGGATGAGAGGGAAGAGAATGGAAGAATGCATCTTGAAGAGTTCTTCAGGAATCAGCAATGCTAAATTCCATCAGCCACTGTCTGAGCAGGGATTGCCAAGGGCGGAGCTCAACAAAACATATTCCTAGATCAGTCACTAGATCCGCTGGATCTGGAGCTCCTAGGAGTTCGATTGGTGGAGGCACCCTAAAACGCGCCCTGCCGACCCTTCCCACCCCGTCGCCCTGGACGCTGCTCAGCTGCCGGAGCTCAAAGGAGACCGGCTTACCCAACTGGCTCTGCTGTTCGGATAGAACCTTCTCAGCCACTGCCTTAGAAGAAAAAACAAACATAATGCCTTCAAAAAAATGATGCAAAATATTAATAGACTAGACTATGATAATGTAGATCAATAGGACCCTTTCAAAAACATTGAACGATTGGTGAATATGGTCGTGCAATAACCTATCTGGGATAACTACACTTCTTCTGGTCCTCGGTTTGTTCAAGAACACACCGGTTGTCTTCTTGCACTTTTTCTTTCGGTGCTGGTTCGTTTGGCATTGCGGGCGACAAAAGCCATGTGCAATTCAAGCGTCACTTTGGCCGTTGGCCAAGAATTGCTTTCCCATTGGCGCCGCATAGCCTTCAAGAGTTTGCACCACTCGCCATCCTCGTCCCAAAAGGGCTGCAGCATCAGGAAATGCGGGAAAACAAAAAGCTGCGTTAAACCCCAAGGCCTTTGAGAAGGAGTTCTGTAGATCCTGGTAAGGCATCTACGGTTGACGGATCGGGATGACGAACCAGTTCAAGGTCGGGCCACGACGGGATGGAAACAAAGACAGGTCTGGAAGAAGGATGAAAAAGGTGCAAAGATGTGCAAAGCGAAAAGAAAGGTGCAAAGCACAACTAGAAATGGGAAAGAAATGAAAAACGCATGCGAGTCTCGTCCCTCCATCCAGGGCGGATAGTACAAGTCATCGGGGCCCCAGCCTGTCGCAAAGGAAAATCCAAGACCGTTCAATATGTTTCAATGATCTAAACCTCCGAACTGATATTCTTTCACGGTTCAAATACCTCATATGAACACATGAGAAACTTGATCAGTCATGATAAGTCACACCAAACTGGGCAAATCTTCTCTTTACCGTCGGCTAGTCACCAACACGTGTATCAAACAACTGAAGCAAGGCAATTAGGGTCCGTGGACTGGCCACTGCATGTGAGGCATGGTCCCAATCAGCTGTCCCCCCGACACTTTCTGTTGGGTAGCCTTAGAGGTTCGGAGAGTGTTGTATGTCCATCTATGCTTTAGACTGTTTCTTGTTCTTTTCCTAGTAGCTTCTTGCTACTAGTAGCGTCCTTTGCTCCTAGTAGCGATGCCAGGAGCCCCTAGTACCGTCCTTCCTCCTACCCCCCCCCCGCGCGCGCGCGCGCGCCGCGCGAAAACGTCCTAGTAGCTTCTTGTTTCAATTCTAATTAAATATACTACAGTAATTCTTTCTAATAGCTTCTTATTAATCACTAGTAGTAAGGCCAGGAGCCCCTAGTAGCGTTCTATGCTTTAGACTTTAGACCTTTAAACTGTCGAAGTCGTGGATTTGCCTGCTATGAAGCCACTGGGAAGTTTCTCCACCTGGCAAGAACGAACGCACCGCTGAGTGCACCGCTGAGCACACCGAGCGAAGAAAGTCTTGAATCCTCCAACCTAGTAGCTTCTTGCTACTAGTAGCGTTCTTGCTCCTATAGTAGCAAACGGCCAGGAGCCCCTAGTAGCGTTCGATGGCCTCCACAATTTTCTGTCCAATGAGCACTTCGGTTTCTCTTCATGTCTGTGTAGCTCCGAGTATGGAAAACAGCCCCGACTGCCCTTCTTGCTTCGACATGCAATCCCGCAGAGTTCGACCTCGGTGCCGTTGAAGCGCAGCTGCAGCTGCGTCTTCTCCACCTTCTCTTTCAGCTCCTCTCGGTCGCTGTGTTTTTTGCTTGTAAGTTGGCGGCCATCGCTATCTTGGAGGCCATCGCTAGAGTAATTAGGTGCTTCTCGTTCCTGGTTGGTTTCTTCTTTTTTTCGTTTCGGCCCAAGCATAGAAACAAGAAGCTAGTAGTGCCTTACTAGTAGTAATGAGAAGCTATTAGTAACAATCCTTCGGCCTTTTCGTCCCATTTCTCGATCTCCTCGGCCCAAACGGCGTCGCGTTCGCAGCGTGGAGCCAGCGCCAGCGAGGCTGAGAGTAGGGAGTTGCGGCGACCCTGAATGGTGCGGTTTTACACCTTTCGGATCCTTTTTTGCACAACAATGCACAACATAGATAGGTCTGGAATGGTACGAGAACTAGTTCAACATGAGAGTATTCATTTACAAATTTGCTCTGACAGCTTAGGTGCAAGTTTGGCCAACCCACGAAGACACATGCTCTTCAGGCAATCACAAAAAAATTGGGGTTAAATGATTTGCCCTTTGCTACTAGTAGTTTCTTGTTACTAGTAGCGTTCTTGTTCCTACTAGCTTTGGGGAGTGAACTGATTTGGAGCATGGGTAAACGATGGTGCCCACGAAAAGGATAGACTAGAAACACAAAGGTGGGCGCAAGCCTCTGCGAATAACCAAGCCAACCTGGTCAACGTACACTCACATCAAATCAAAGATCAAAGATGTCAAAGCAATATATCAAGCGATATCAGCTTTTCCAGTGCTCCAGGTTCTGAGTCGGTCCTCTTGTCTGCAAGAGTCCGCAAGCCTTACGCTGCATCCTGCCTGGGCCCGGCCAAAGCCGCCAGGGCCAGAAGCGCACGCCTGCGAGAGAAGAACTCCGCTACAAAGCCCTCAAAAAAGTGTGCTTGAAACTAACACCAATGGGAACCGAATTGTATTGGCCTCGAACCTAAGAGCGATGGTCTGGTTTTCTCTAAACGTTGCGCTGCCTCACCGCCACGTCTTTGAGGCATGGCGTGAGAGGAACATCGAAACGCAATCGTGGCATTCGTAAGGCGTTCGTAAGGTATATAGTAAGGTGCCTTGTTACTAGTAGTGTCCTTGCTTAATGCCTGGAGCTACTAGTAGCTTCTTGCTACTGGTAAGGTGCCTTGCTATTAGTGTTCTTTCACAATGAGGTCCATTTCCTGCCAGCCTAGAGAAGGGTAGTTCAGTCTCGGAAGGTGTTATCTGCTGTTTTGCTTGGCAGTGCTTCTGCGAGATCTAATGAAGTTGGACCCAAGGAAAGAGTGGGAGTGCAAAGGGCAGGCAGTGCACACTTTCATTCTGCTTCCTTCGTAGAGGAGCAAGAGACCTACACATTGATTCCTCTTGGAAATGTGCTGAGTGCACGGAGTACTGCGAAATGTCCAAGGCTGAAGAACTTGAGCCTCATGCTGCAGGGAAAGCTTTTCGACTGCTGAATTGCCCGGTCAGTGCTTTAAGTGTTCACCCCAAAATGCCGCGGCTCTGTGTCCTCAACTTGCCAGCACAGTGCAAGCAAAAAAGGTGCGCGCAAGCGGCAAGGATGGCACCTCAGGTCAGTCAACGCGTCCATAAACCGCGAAACGGCATGAAATCCGTGGTTGGCATGAGAACAACTGTCACAGCATGAGTCAAGAGCCTGTGTGGGGTTCAGAGATGGTGAGATGGTGGTTGAACAGTTGAACATCAAATACGAACAGGCCGTTGCTGTTAGGTTGGAGGCCATCGCTAGTAGGTTGGAGGCCATCAAGGTTTCTCTTTGCGCTTCCCAGATACGCTCTGTAGGTGGTGGCTCATTGAGACACACAGGGCATTGAAAGTTTTGAGCTTCAGCAGCATCCAACATCGCTGAGAGGAAGGCATGCTCGTAGCTCCTTCGAAAAGCGGCTTGAAGAGTTTCTCAAGAAGTACAGTAAGTATGCAGAAAAGCCATGTACAAAGCCATCAAAGAGTTGGTTTGGACAACAAACCTGGAAGCCATTATAAGCCATGTAGCATAATTGTGGTCATCTTCCATTTCACAAGAAGCTGATCTCCTTTGTCTGAAGGCTTCTTTGGCCTGTTTCACTTCTTCCAGCAGCTCCAAGCCAGCAGCCACCTGGGACAGGGAAGGGTCAATCCCGCTTGCAAAACAAAGCCGGCCTCCGACCTAATAGCATCCTAGTTACTAGTGGCTTCTTGCTCCTAGTAGTAAGGCCAGGAGCCCCTAGTAGCGAACATTGCTCCTAGTAGCGATGCCCTTTGCTCCGTTCGTAGCTTCCAACCTACTAGCAACGACCTCCAAACCGGAGGCCTTTTCCGCATCGCAGATCCGATCGGCGTCGGACCTCCACCACCTCCGCAGACTCCGCAGACGCTGGCGGCTCCGATCGAACCTCCAAGATCGCCTGGAGGATCAAGGCATCGGCCTCGCGCTCGTGCCTCGAGCGTCGCACTTCATCTCCGGGTCACCTCTTGTTTCTTTTACTTCGTCACAAAGTTGAAGATCAAGCGACATCTATGCAGGTCCAAAAATGCGCTCATAAGTATGTATAGATAGATGTCGCGGTTCGATTCGACCTTTTACCCGCCTCCGGCGGCCTTTGCTGGCGGCGGAGCGCGCCGCTTTGGCGCCTTCCACCTGCGAGACCGTCCGCTCGCAGCTCACGGCTCGCACGCCGCCTGGGTCTCCGCGGTCCAAAGACCGGTCGGACCGGGTGAGAGAAGTCGGGAACTAGTAACAAGTGCCACGCTAGTAGTAACAGGTGCCTTACTAGTAGTA